AAAGGGAGAGAAGGGAAAGAAAGGGAGAGAAGGAAGGGAGGAGGGGAAAAGAGGGGGAGGGGATGAAGGGAGGAGAGGCAAAGAGGGGGAGGGAAGGAAGGGGAAGAGGGGGGGTTGAGGTTATCCGATATATATCTAGTGAATATGTATTATTATTGATTCGACATCGTTACTTGACTTTCTTGAGGTGAGAGAGATGCGACATCAGAGGGATGATGGGGGGGGGGAGGTAGAGGGAAGGGGGAAGGGTAGGGGAGGCCTTACCCCATCGACAAGAGGCTCGGGCACGGGCACTCGCACGTACTTGACCGGGGAACGCGCACGGCAGAGGCCCCTTCACTAGTCCACTCTTTGTTGCAGTTGAAGAGAACGGAGAGTGAGCGCGGAGTCGAAAGGGCCTTTAGGAGAGGCCTTTGTGAGGGCGCTGGTCGTCGCAAACAGGCAGAACGAGAGGGTCGCCGTCCAGTCATGCATCTGCCTGCTTTTGTCTCTCATCCGCTCGCCTTCTGCAACACGTGGATCAATATGTTGCATTGTGTACGAGATCGCGCCCGCCCAGCCCGCCCCGGGAGTGTATTGTGGCGAAACGTGGCGTCGCTGACCGTAGAGTTTTGGACGGCGCGGGCGTAAACGGGAGGTCGACAGGAGCATTGAGCGAAGAAAATTATGGTTAGATATACTCGGGTACTTGTGGGTATTATACTCGTGGAAACGGCGTAACTCTTCAAGGACGCCGCTCGTTATTCGACAATATACGAGGCAGTCCGTAGCTGTCCGTATCATTACCACTAAACATCATCATTAAGGTTACAGTTAAGCGAGGACGGGGGCCATTATCGTCATTACCACCAAGGGGCCAGCGCGGACGGCGGCCACGCTCCTGATGGCCCCTGGTGATAATGGCCAGTCCCTAGTAATGCAAGGAGTGAGGATCATCCCTCTTGCTTATCAGATGCGATCTGTTATAACGGGCATGACGGTGCAGTTACTAGGAAGTCCTTCTAGTGACGGAGTAATAGCCGTGCTCGCCGCTATCTGTCTTGAGCTAAGTGTTTTCGAGCGAATCGCCGGCGGAGGCCCGGTCGCGAAGGGCCGCCCGCGCCTCGGAAATTACCCGCCGCCGTCGGGCTAATCGGGCGGCGATGACAGTAATAAGGACAGCGCCGCCGCGCCTCGACGTCGTCCCAAGGGCGGCCTCGAGGGGCGGTGCCGCTGAGAGGAGGCGGGGGGGGGGAGTGCCTCGCGTGTCCTTTTCTTCGTTTGGTTGGGCGGGGGTGGGCGGGCACGGGGGCCGGCATGGGGGGCGGGCGAGAGGACGGGTTTACACTTACACACACAGACACACACAGACACACACACACACACACACACACACACACACACACACACACACACACACACACACACACACACACACACACACATTAAAACATACAAATACACAGACACATATCAACAGGCGTAGACGTGCTTACACCTCCCAAGGGAAGGAAGAATCAAAAAGCGGGCGTGCTGCAAGAGGGGGGGGGGGAGGCTCCCACGTGACAGCCGGCGATGTGACTCCCTTTCCGAGTGGAGAGGAGGCCGTTCTTCCCCAATTAATCTTTCCCGATGGATTAGGTGTTGGGGGGGAGAGGGGAGGGTTGGAGGGTGTGGGAGGGGGAAGGGGGAGGGATGGGGAAGATGGGTGGCGGGGAAGGGGGAGGGATGGAGAGTGGGGGAGAGGGGGAAGGGGGTTAGGGATGGAGAAGATGGGTGGGGGGAAAGGGGGAGGGTGGGGGAGGAAGAGGGGGGGTGGGTAAGGGAAGAAGGTGAGGGAGAAAGGGGAAGAGGGGAAGGGGGAGGAAAAGAGGGAAAGGAAGAAGAAAGGGAAATAGCAAAGGCGAAGGGGGAAGCATAGCGAAAGGGAAGAATGAAGGAAGAATGAGAGAGAGAAGGAAAAGGGGGGAAGTTTGCAAAGGGGAAAGGGGAGAGGGGGGGGGGAGTAGGGAAGATAGTAAGACAGGCAGGGGGGGGAGAGAGTGAGGGGAAGGGGAGAGGGAGGGGGGGAAGGAGGTGTCATTCAAGAGTTCATAATTAGTGAGGGAGGAGCTTTGAAATTTATGAAGATGGCCTCGTTCTTTTCCCTAATTGATTGTAGTTGAGATCGAGGTTGATGTCAGGCGGGGCGGGGCTTGTGTGGTTTACTTTCGCTCGGCCCTTTCTTTCCTTCTTTCTTTTTTTTCTTTATTTCTTTTCTGTTTATCTGTCTCTCTCTTTTTCTCGATCTGCCGATCTATTTATCTCTCTCTTTTTCTTTCTCTCTCTCTCTCTGTTTGTCTCTCTCTTTCTCTTTCTCTGTTTGTCTCTCTCTTCTCTCTCTCTCTCTCTCTCTCTCTCTCTCTCTCTCTCTCTCTCTCACTCTCTCACTCTCTCTCTATCTATCTCTCTCCCTCCCTCCCTCTCTCCCTCCCTCCCTCCCTCCCTCCCTCCTCTCTCTCTCACTCTCCCTCCCTCCCCT